CCTTCACAACCATGTCCCGGATTTACCATCACTCGCCCTTTTTTCTATTTGTTTGCAATTTATGTTACTGTATACTCACTATGTCAAAGTCAAGTTTTCATTTTTTTCTTCATTGTTTTAACTCCATTTAATCATCAAATTGTCTTATTTTTCACTTCATATAGCCTAGTGCAATGATTCTCAGCCTTCCTAATGCTGTGGCCCTTTAATACAGTTCCTGTGGGTATCAACCCACAGCTTGGTCTGTGTTTCTTCACAGTTTTTCTCCATTTCTGCCATGAATTCCATTTCTAGACAGAATGGTTCTCTTTACGTTATTGTGGAGAATGATTTAAATGAGGTCTGAATTGGTTTTTCTGACTCCTGTGCTTTTCTGAAATATTTTATTTTATTTATCCCACTGGATTATTCTCTCAAACATGCTTTGATCACTTCATTTGCTGTTGAAACCCTTCATGACTCACTATTTCCAAATTCCCACTTAGTTTTAAATTTTTACCTAGTTAAGTAAAAAATTGACTTTTAATTTATTTTCCCAAATTTGACCTTCCATACGAATCACATATACATTTTGTTAATATATTCCTATTCACATCTGCCCGTTTAGTTATCATTTTAATAAGCTAATGCTTAATCTACCCACAGGATCTAAACTGGTAAAGAGCAGCTACTTTATATTGCCGTTGAAACTAGAACAAGAATTTTATAAGTAATAATTTTATTTGAAGGCAAGAATTTTTTATGGAAGTCTGAATCACAAGAGGCAATCTAAACTGTGCTGCAACTCCAAATGGAGTGTGGAAGTTCTAGACAATTGTTTATAATATAAAATAGTTGTCAGTGCCATACTCAGGAACATATCTGCTTAGAGAAATTTACTCGCAAAACCTGTCTCTAAAGCTTGGATTCCATATCTTGACCTCCAAACATTAGGTCTTTGACTAGTGACTTTGACTCAGTGTTAACAGAGAAATCTTGTTCTTATTTCATGAGATATTATCAACTTCTGTAAAATTTTCCTAGTATTTGTTTTCGCTGTGTTTCCTAACTTTACTTTTGCTTCCCAACCGAGACCCAGTTTTCCTTCTTCCACTCATCCCATTCAAGGAAATCTATTAGGTTTTGACTCTTCTTTATTTCCCAGCCGTTGTCAATTAAAAAATCGTTCCATGTTTCTCAATTTCCACGCAGTCAACATTCCTGGGGAATCCCATTTGTAAACTATCCACTTACAACCTAAACGTTTTTTCATGTGCTATGAGCTACTGATTTCTGCTGGGTCCCTATCTCACTGAGGAGGAAGTCCCTATCTCAGTGAGGAGAAACTCCATTTTTTTTACTTTCTTAGACTAGAAACCTTGGAGGTTAGTCTCCACATCTCTTTTTCTTATGATCAATATCTGTTCTTTCAAATAGATAGATTCTTGTCAAATCCTTTTGACACTATCTTCAAAGTAGACCCGGAACACAGCCCTTCCCACTGCATTCACTGCTATCAGCTGGGTCTAAGCAACGATCCTCTGTTTTTACCTTAGTATTCCTGTGCAGAAAAGTCTTCACCACTATATACGGGCAACCATCTTCCTCACCTGCCTTGGATCCTTTCTCCAATGTCCCCAATGAAGTCTCACCTGGTACCCTATAGGAAAATTACCACTGTCTCCCAAACACTTCCCATCCACTTTTCCTGCTTATTTTTTTTTTTTAATCACTGCTTAACCTATTCCGTTTGCTTAATTGTTAAACTTATAGTCAGTATTAGACAAGGTTCTCCAGAGAAACAGAGCCAATAGGATGCAGAGAGTTGTATAAAAAGAAACTTATTATCGGGGTTCAGCTCATATGATGGGGGGGGGGCTGAGTCCCATGATGTGCCCTCTGCAAGCTGAAGAACTAAGAAAGCTGAACTTGCCCAAATCAGAAGGCCCCAGAACCAGGAGTGCTCTGTCAAATGGCGTCGATAGTCCAGCTCAGGCAGGGAGCAAATTCACCTTTCCTTCACCTCTTTGCTCTATGTGGCCCTCGATGGATTAGATAATACTTGCCCACATAAATGAGGGCAATCTACTTTACTCAGTCTAGAAATCCAATTGTTAATCCCATCTGGAAACTCCCTCACAGACACATCCAGAAATAATGTTTCCAAGCTTATGGGCATCCCTTAACCCAGTGAAGTTCATATATAAAATTAACCATCACATAGTCTTTTTTCTTTTTTGCTCTGCTAGAACATAAGTGCTAAAATTTTCTGTAAGTGCTAAAATATTTATATCTTTGCACTGCTGTATCAAAGAGGAACTTTAACCAATGCAATCGCTGTAACCTAATTTTTTGTACCCTCAATGAATCCCAAACAACAAAGAATAAAGTAAAAAAGAGAATGAAGGGCAATGGTGAGGGCTGAATATAAAGGCACAAGGAGAAGGTAATCTTTCTGTTACTATTTTGCAGAACTCTCAAATTTTAAGTTTTTCCACCAAATGTATGTTCTTTTGCTTTGTTGGAAGGGAAAATGATGTTTAAAAGTCATCAATTTATTCTTAGGTTAAAGATTTTTTTTTTCTTAAGAAAAAAACACTTTAAGCCAGTTAAATAGAACCCAAATTAGTTTGTATCTTTGTATTTGGAAATCTATGCCACAGCGTTGGTTTAGCTCCTCAGAGAACAAAATCGGGGAAGGTGTCAGTTCCCATGTGATTTCCATTCAACACTCACTCACAGCAGGTCAACCATGTCTTTCCCAGCCAAGAAAACACGTAAAACTTCTTATTTATTTGTCACCTTGAATAACTTACTTAAATATTTGTATTATGTTTTCAAAATATTATACCCCTATGTGTTTATAGCCTTTGTGAAATGTATATGCACAAACACAGATCATTGACTACTAAGCTTATTGTATTGCCTCTTTCCTAAGTGATGTTTTCAAGTATTTGTGTCAGCCGGACGGCACATTTACAGTGGTGTTAAACACATATATCAAGGTTCATATAAACGCCACTTCTGCATTGAGAATCATCATGCAGAGACCTGAAGGCAGTTTAGGTGGCTATCCTGACTCTCAACACCAAGTTGTTTTTCCAATTATTCTCCAGACTTTAAACACAGACTACAAATAAAAAATTTATAGCATATAAAAAATATAAAGTCGAGTAGCACTCTTGTTTGAATTAGTATTCTACTAGAAGACATGAAAAATAATAGGAAAGACATTTCATTAAGGGAATTTTATATGTTTTTAATAAATATCTCAGCATCTGCATACTAATTTAAAAGAAATTTTTATTTCATACTATTAGAAATTGTCAGGAATAAATAAATATAACATCACATTTCTGAACCTGTGCATAAAACCATAGGAGCTGGGCACAGAAAGGAAATGTGCCCAGCTCCTATGGTTTTGTGCAGATGTTTAGAAATACACACAGGTAAGTCACAAGTCTATGTTGGAATTGTAGTCTTCTCTGTATTAGGTCATGTGTCTACTTTTCATATCCCATGGTTATTTTTTCCTCCTCTCTTAGACTATAAAAAATGTTCTAGCCGGAGTAAGGGACACTTATTCCTGATTGTTTCACAATAGTACTCCCATGTAAAATATCAACGGCACAGAAAACAGAGCTATTCAATGAAGATGTTATAATTGCTTAAGAAAACTACTTAAACAGGCTGGGCGTGGAGCTCACACCTGTAATCCCAGCACTGGGGAAGCCAAGGCAGGTGGGTTGCCTGAGCTCATGAGTTCGAGACCAGCCTGAGCAAGAGTAAGACCCTCATCTCTAAAAAAGAAAAAAAATATATAGCTGGGCATTGTGGCGGATGCCTGTAATCCCAGCTACTTGGGAGGCTGAGGCAAGAGAATCACTTAAACCCTAGAGTTTAAGGTGGTTGTGAGCTAAGATGTCATGGCACTCTCCTGAGGGTGACCAATTGAGACTCTCAAAAAAAAAGAGAAAACTACTTAACAAAAATTAGTAAGTTTTTCTTATAGTCAGTACTTACAGGTTACCTTGATTGTCTTTGAAAAAGAAGTCCATTAGAGATAAAGAAAATGTTTAAAACTCCACAAAGTTATCTACACAGTTTGCTGATGTCAGTTGTTCTAATCATGATTATTAGAGTCAAAATTGTAAATGGAACACTCTGTTCAAAACAAAATAATGTTGTTTTTAATTGTAATTTGTAATCAGCTGTAATTGATTGATGTGGTCATTTGTAATCTTGGCCTGATTTGATTAAATTTCAGAAGTCAGCTTGGTAGCTATGATTTCACACTTGGCTAAAAAGCCTTTCCTCCTCTAAGTTTGGATAGTTGGACTCATACATTATGTATGTCCTTTAATGGCCCACATAGCCAAGGGATGACACTTTAAATTGATGAGGGTTATATATTCATATGTAAAACAAATTAGTTTAGGAACAAATGAAGAATAGATTTGCAGTTGGGCTAGCATGAACTGTTACAATTATAGTGATTATTATAACCACAGTCTAATACCTTCCAGACATCAGCTATCATTATTGTGTCTCTGTCATAAAGACACAATTCTATCTCTCTCAAAAATATTATTTCATTGCAGGAATATTATTTATATAAAAATAGTTCACATGCTGCCAGCATTTCCATGTCAAACAACTATTTTCATAAATTTAGTATTGAGTTGCATAAAAATTTGCTTTAAGGCAGGCATATGTCAGACTATAATTCATCTCTTTAAGAGCTTTTGCTGCACTGTGTTCTAGAAACTTTGTTTTGAGAAAGATTATTAAACATATGACAATTTCATTCATGGTTGATACAATGACTTTCTCATATCTGTGGGGCCATATTCCTAACACATGACCTGAATATAACAGGTGGTCAAAAATAAAGAAAAAAATACATATTAAACTAATATTTATATTAGTTTATAATATTTATACTAATATGATATAAAACAAAATTTGATAGATTTTAAAGGCATTGGATCAGAAAATGTTTCATGTGATATGAGATAGCAACGCTCTCAGGGTTCATAAGGCTGATGCTTGGGTTTGCATGCTCGTATGTGAGATGTGCCACCCTCAAGCCTTTTTATGATGTTGGCACATTATCCATCTGGTGCAAAAGAAGAAAAATAAATAAATAAATTGTGATGATTATCTTTTACTCCTTATGAAATTTTAGGATATCATGTCTGACAGAGCTTTGTGGAATTTATGGATTTCTGGCATTAAAAAGAAGATGCATGAATGAAATGTTAATGTGTGTCTTACTGAGAAATGGTTCATGGAGAAAATAACTTCACTTTAATTTGGGAGGAACCAAAGGATTACAAAGTATTACTTCCTTAGTTAAATTTTCTCCAACGCCACAATTTGTAGGAATTATCAGAATAGTACTATTTTTCACAAACATAAAATGAACATTTGGGCCTTTGGGGACCCTAATGTAGTGTCTACTTTTTAAATGCTATTTTAAATTAATTTGAGACTTAAAAAATTATTTTGCAAAAAATAATACTCACAGTTTTCTTACACCCTTTACCCACTCTCCCCTAATATTTACTTAATTATGTACAACTAGCAATAAATATGATACTCTTAACAAACTTACAGACTTGTGGTAAATGGTGCTGGTTATCCTTCTAATGTTTGTGTATTGGTCCAGGTTCCAATCCCGTATCGAGTGGCATTTACATCTCAGGTTTTCTTAGTCTCCTTCACTCTGTGACAGCTTCTCAGTTTTCTTTGGTGGTTCATGGTCTTGTCACTTTTGGAGAGTACTGGCTGTGTTAGTCCTTTCAGGTGATGGTAGCAGAATACTGTAAACTGGGTATAAACTGGGTAGCCTGCAGATAGCAAACATTTGTATCACTCAGTTACAAAGGCTGAGAAGTTCAAGGCCACAGTGCTAGCAGACTCAGGGGTTGACAGGTGCTTTCTGATTTGTAGAAGATTCTACCTATGCTCGTACATGGTTTAATGTTAAGTTAGCTCTCTGGGGCCTCTTTTAGAAGGGTACTTTTTCCTCTTCATGGCTCATGCATGGCCATCTTTTAGCTGTTAAACTTTTCACGTGGCAGAAAAGTTAAGGGAGCACTGTGGAGTCTTTTTTATGGTAACACTTAATCCTCATGACCTAATCGCTTTCCAAAAGTCTTACTTTCAGATACCATCACACTGAGAATTAGATTTCAACACATGAATTGGGGAAGTACACAAATAATCTATACCACTTGACAATCATTTTCTTAAATATTCCTCAGTATTAAACATTGGGTTAGTCTGAAATATTTTAATGGTGAAATTGATGTAATGCATTTTTAGTAAGACTACCACAAAAGTGATTTTCTGTCCTCCTCATCAGATTGTATTAAAAGACATTTAATGGGCTCAGTGCCTGTAGCTCAGTGAGTAGGGCACATACACCAAGGCTGGTAGGTTCAAGCCTGGCCTGGGCCAGCTAAACAACAATAACAACTGAAACAGTAACAACAACAACAAAAATAGCCAGGCATTGTGGCAGGTGCCTGTAGTCCCAGCTATTTGGTAAGCTGAAGCAAGAGAATTTCTTAAGCCCAAGAGTTTGAGGTTGCTGTGAGCTGTGATGCCACTGCGTTCCACCAAGGGTGACATAGTAAGACTCTGTCTCAAAAAAAAAAGAAAAGAAAAAAAGAAATGAATGAATAAAAAATAAAGGTATTTAATGTCCACATGGAAAATTGAGGTAGGCACCTGTAGTCTCAGCTACTTGGGAGGCTGATGCAAGAGGATCACTGAAACCCAGGAGTTTGAAGTTGCTATGAGGTATGACACCACAGCACTCTAGCCTGGGCAACAGAAAATAATAATAATAATAATTTAAATGTATAAGCATCTTAGATGGAGTGACTGCAAGACAAAAAATGAAAATGTCACTGAGGATAGTGTTGCTCCTCCAACTAAGGGAAATTGTAATCTGAAGACTGTGGTATTAAAATCAGGGACTGATAAATTAATTCTTTGCTAGAGACAACACATTTTAATTGCCACCAACCTGTTGACCTTAGTAGGGTTTTCTTTGCAAATGCCCATGTCTACTGAATATAAATCATGCCAGTTATGAAACAGGAATCATTGGTGTAACACTGGCTGAGAAAATGGTTATAAGAATTCATATTATTCACATCAGCAGTGGGCCTTTTTAGACTCGATAGTAACTACATGTTCAGTGTTTAATTCAATTTTTCTTTCCTATATTCTACCTTTAACCTTAGTTCTTTTTGTTTAATGGTAACACCATTTAAATTTTACTCATTTATAGCAACACATTTGTGGCTGACCTAGTTTTTCTGAAACATTATTCCAAGATAATTACTGAGGGAGCTGCAAAGTATTACAATGAAGACCAGCATCTCCATCAAGTAGCAAGCCCTGGGTAGTGTTCACTGACCTTGTAAACTGGTGTTTGTTATTACCCCACCCCTCCTTGTCCTCACCCTACCAAATTTGATTGGTTTTCCCGCTTGTACTTAATAAGCACCAAAAGTGAAAGAAAGGCATGAAATGAGCTATTTCTGTCACATTTGATCTTTATTAAAAATTAAAATTTAGTGACATCCAAAATAAATGGCTGTACCTGTAAGGGCTAGGTAATTTTACCATTACCTAATTATAAATATCTGATTTTATTGTCTGCAGTGCATGTGCTAGATCTGTGGTATATAATAATACCAGTAAATATTACGAGAAAAGGTTTGCTCAATAGTGAAAACATTAAACAGAAAGTTCTTAGACCTAGTTGTTTACCCATATATTTTCAGAGTGGTTACAATAGCATCATCTATTATAATTTTGTATTCACTTCTTATTTTGATTTAAGTAAATTTTCTTTTTCTTGTGTAGTTTATTACTCTGAGTAGAAAAACTACATGTTTATTTTGGGTCATCTAAAATAAAGAAAAACCAGTGCAATGAAAAGTAACCTTGGAATCCCAGCCATGAAAGAAAATCACCTTTGTAGATTTCATATCAAAGTGAATATGAAATTGTGCATTTTTAACCTAAGCATCTTTAGCCTTTGTTTTAAACTCAGCACAAATACGGGAAAATGAATTTGCGGTGTTCAACTTTGTGAATGTAATAGTATTTGGTCGTTCATTTTTGGCTTTAATTTTTCATTATTATGCATAAAGCTTCAAGGACATCTTCCCACACAAAGTGCTGCTTTACCTTCTATCCACCCACATACATTTGGGAGTATCCCCTTAAAATTCTTGTTCAGTTTGTAAAATTAACAGAAACTAGCTCAAGTAGAAAGTTGGGGGAGTACTGGGGAAGCTCTTTGTAGGTGTGACGATTCAGAGGCTATTCATTCTCCTGTGAGATATACTGAAGTCAGGAGGAGAATTGATCAGGCTTCACAGAACCTGGAAACTGGCTGATTATCACGGAAACGTTTCTTTCCATGAAGCTACACAGTTTCCTCATCTCTGATGTCTCTGCTCCTTTGTTAACTGGATGGCAGCTTCACCTGATTTCTCCTGGTTTGGTAGGGTATAAGCACCCCTAACTGACGTTCTGCCCATCTGAGCTGATCCCCTCTGTGAGTTTTTACAGCTCTAGAAATTAGTAGATGGCCAGCTCTTAAAAGTGAGCCATGTGGACCAAGGTGACTGGCCCGCTAATTCTCTGGTTCTGTTTTAGAATCGTTAGATACATGTAGCTCAATCAATGGTCACCTTTGCACAAAACAAACAAAGCAATTTAAAAAAAAAAAAAAAACAAAAAACATACACTCCTTCATTCTTTGTCTTAATAGGATGCTAGGGACAAAACAGTTCGTTTATGCCAAAAGAAGGGAGGTTGGTAAGTCAGAAAACTGAAAGACAATACCTGTTATATCTATTATCGATTTAGTATAATGAGTGGGAGGTGCCTGGCTCTGTTATAAATATGTTATGCTTAAAAAATGAAGAACAGAAAGAAATCACCCTAGACTTAGCACTAACTAGGTTTCCAAACTATTTCCCCCACTAACTTTTCTTGAGATTATTTAGATATCTCTTGATAATTCTTCATGGAAGCCCGTGTGAAAGCAGACATGTTGATTCTGCGATTTGGTGGAATAAGTCATCAACATTCTAGTTTTTAACATTGATAAAACTGATTGTACAAATTTCTAATCAATGAAGAGTTCACCTCAGGGACAAGCCATAGAATTTCATTCTTGTAAAATTGTCTATCTCCCTTCAAAATCCAGAGGCCTGTGAAATACAGAGCCGAGGGTTGACTCCCCCAGTTCGCCCAGCACTGAGCATGAGAAGTTGCACCACGACTAGTTCTGCAGAGCACGGAAACTGTTACTGGGATTGTGCTTTCACACTGTGAAAGTGTCTAGATTGGGTGCTGTATCAGTATTTAATTTGGAGGGAGAGAGGTAGGAGATGGGGCATGAAGCTACAGAATATTTTAAAACTGTCAATTATTAGAGCTGTAGACTTTTAAGCATTTTTCATTTACAATAAGATAAGCTATCACCATGTTGTTCGCAAACATTTTCTCAATCCAGAGCCAATCACGATTTTGTCTATTCAAAGCAGCTGTTATAATTCTCAGTAAAACAACAACCTCTTCTCCTCCCAAGTATCTGCTTATTTCACTGAAATTTTGGCATGTTTTATCAAAAGTATTTCTTATTGACTCTAATTCATCCAGAGAGCACTACAGTAGGCATCAATCTGCAGAGTTCCAGCATCGGCGATTTGAAAGAAGATGGAATACCCTCAGAAATATTTTGAAAATGAGGCATTGATCTTATGAGTGATCTCACTATCTCTGTGCTTGCTACAATTTGTGCTGTCCCCCCGAGTTACTCATACATTCCAATGGCTTTTTACACTATGTACATGTGAATCAAAATATAACGTTGCACTCCATAAACAGGCAAAATTATTATACTATGGGCCAATCATAATTTAAAAAAAAAAAACTCATGATGCCTAAATTTACAGCTTTCATCTAAATCTGTTCTGAGTTTCAGATTTGTCTATCTAACTTTCCACTTGGCATTGGCGTTTGGAGTTTTCAAAAGCACCTCTAATTTAACATATCTGAGCTGAATCCTTGATTTTTCCTGCAAAT